GTTTTAAACTAGCAGGTGATTTTGTAGGTCAATCTCTGCCTGAAACAATGCTAAAATTGTATTTATTTGGGGTAGACCTATAAGCTATGTTCTCAGAGTATAGGGACTTCTCATTGTATTAAATAACATAGGCCTACTGTTTCCATATTTTCACAAAGCTGACAAGGAATTTTACCATGTGAATTTAATTATTCCTGATATTATACCATATCTAGACAAATGCATTTCCTGAAGAAAATGTGTGTGGATGATGATTGCTGAAGAATTGCCCTGAAAACTCTGAAATCCATAGCTTGATGGTTAATTCCACTGACTTTGGTACGACTTCATCATGCCTTTTTCTGTGTTGTGATCTGCCGCTATATAGAAAATAATATTAACTTCACCTTCAAGGGTGGGCAGGACACTAATATTGCTGCAAATAAGATACAATACACTGACACAGTGACATTCATATATCTTTCTCCCAGAACCTCCAGTCCTACTGGGAGTGCTGGTGTTAGGGCCCTTCATGTACACCAGAGGCCCTCAACTCCATCACTGGATGGACATGGTCAACAGTTCACAGGAGCCGGTGAAGCTTGTGGTACAGATTGGGCAAATACATTTAAGCAACCAAACATGAACAGATCCACAAACACACATGTGCATGTACATACACACAGCTCAAAAATTGAATAAAAGTGCTAATAAATGTGTTCGTTTGTAAAACACCTTGAGGCGATTTCCATCTCCTAATAAAAGCATGTCTAGATGAAAGGTGTGTTTGTAATTGCATGTGATTTTTACGTTCATTCTAAATAGAATAAATGAATGTTACTAACGTTATGGCATTCTCATAATACAGACATTGAAAAATCTACCGTTTCCCCTTAATACATCCGTGGGCAGAATGGTCTCCATCATGCGATTCAGTATCAAGCTGTTATAATATATTAAAGGGACGTACAAGGGTTGAATTTAGCTTATTGTTATAATCGTTCCTAATGGTGTTTGTGTCTGGTTTTGCACCAGTTGGAGGGACACAAAGTTGTGTTGGTTTCCTATGATGCAAAGCATGTGCCCAGGCAACGTTAATATTAACACCTGATCGGTCTTGCTACACACACGAAGTTTGTCAGTTTTCTTTTATTTTCCTCTGCTGATATCTTTAGTGATGAGTGTTTGAATGTCATTTCTTTACTGCTGTTAGAAGTTCTTTTATTGAAAGCGCGAGAAGTGAAGACAGAAGAGTACTGTTTAAAATCAACAGGAAGTTTACTCAAAGTCTGGGCAAAGGTGAAGTCTTACAGCGCTGGGATCAGAGAGACAGAGCTCCCGCAGGAAATCCGTTCTCTTAACAATGAGTTACGTTTTCTCATTACATTTATCTTCTTGGGCTAGGCCTACCTTGGACAGAGGTACAACATTTCACACTTCGTAATCCTATTGGCCACTTAGCGTGAGCAGGTCGACCCCTGCCTGCGTCTGCTTGCTGAAATGTGATCTAAACCAGGTGTGAGTGTGTGTGTGCTTCTCAGGTGGAAGCTTGATCGATGAACACTGAACAACGGGTGGTCTGGGCTGCAGACGCCCCTGTGTGTATGATGCTATTGTAGGACCTAGTGAGTATACTAAACAGACCAGGTGGTCATTTCAGGTTGTAGGCCCCCTGTCTCTGCAAAATACCCCATGACAAAGGAGAATTTGGAATATGCTAAGCGGGTCTAGGTGAAGGTGCAAAACAGGCCAACAGGTCTTTGTTAAAATGTAAAATAGGCTGTCTGGTTTCTTGAAGATATAGTCATCCTGTCTCTACAGAATTTGTAGTATACAGTTCTAAAATTTCACTCAGTAAGATGCAGTGGCCAACAATACAGTTTTAATATGTATGAACAAGGAAAATAAAGGTATGAAAAGTAACTAAAGGAAACTAAAATTATGAAAAGTAACTAAAGCTTCTAAATGGGCGCGCCTCACAACTTCTCCTCAGCTGGCTCTGACTGGACCGGGGCCAACACACTGGGGGGCCGTGAGGCACGCTTCACAGCCTCTCCACGGCTGAGCCCTAGGTTCCTGAACCCGCCAGCGGCGCG